GGAGGATAATGTACAAGAGAGCAGAGTAGAGGAGCGCAGGACAACTTCAAAGACACCAGCAGGTGTGTACACGAGGGAAGTAGAAATAAATTATTTAATATTCAATCACTGCTGCAATTAAAAATCGACTGTAAATCTGCAAAAGTCCATGGAAAGTAAACCCGGAGGGTGGCAGTAATGGAACATTGAGGGTGCCAGCTGCCGTTAAAACCCCAACAGAAGAAGAACAAGTAGTCAGAACGAAACAAATATGGCGATACCCTGGAAGGCAAGGGGGCGCATCCTAACTTTAAGTTACGTTTTTGCCTGTACGCAAGCCGAGGCGATGGCTGCGGAGCCGAGAGGCGTCACCCGGATCCTAGGCATGAGGCTGGAAAAGAGCGACAAGCCGACTGGGACCACCGAAAGAGGAGTGATACAGGTGACCGAAGGCAGCGACATCCTCTTCAGGTTCTACGGGCTCCACTTGTTTCACAACACTTCTCAGCTTATCCGGTTCATGGAACTGTACTCCAGTGATAAAGAGGACGATGAATTCGGCTCTATTATGGTCCCATTTAACAGGACTTGTTCTGAAGACACGAAGGATATAGAAGTGAAGACGTCCATGGAGGTAAACAGCGAAACCACCTCCGGGGTGGTCCAGCTCCGGATTAAGCTGCTCCGCAAGAGTGAGGTGGTAAAGGTGTTCGGTTTGTGCTTGCGCGACCCGCGGGAGACAGATTGGTACATGCTTGATGGCAATCACGGAAGACTGCGAGTGGTGGAGGAGAAAAAGTCTCTGCTGCCCATCTGGCTGCAGGTGATCTTCATCTCATTCCTGTTGGTGCTGTCAGGCATGTTCAGCGGGCTGAACCTGGGGCTTATGGCGCTGGATCCGATGGAGCTGCGCATCGTGCAGAGCTGTGGCACCGAGAAGGAGAAGAAGTACGCACGGAAGATAGAGCCCATCCGCAGGAAGGGAAACTACTTGCTTTGCTCGCTGCTCCTCGGCAATGTCCTGGTCAACACCACTCTGACCATCCTCCTGGATGATCTCACAAACTCAGGTATCGGCGCTGTGGTCGCTTCCACCGTTGGCATCGTTATTTTTGGCGAGATTGTCCCCCAGGCCCTGTGTTCTCGGCATGGCTTAGCAGTCGGGGCAAACACCATCCTAGTCACTAAGTTGTTTATGCTTCTAACTTTCCCACTGTCGTGGCCCATTAGCAAGATCCTGGACTGCGTTCTGGGTCAGGAGATTGGCACCGTTTATAACAGAGAGAAGCTGGTGGAGATGCTGAAGGTCACTGAGCCCTACAACGACCTGGTGAAAGAAGAGCTCAACATGATCCAAGGTGCTCTGGAGCTCAGGACTAAAACGGTGGAGGACGTCATGACACCGCTCAACAACTGTTTCATGATCCACAGCTGTGCCGTGCTAGACTTCAACACAATGTCCGAGATCATGGAGAGCGGCTATACCAGGATACCGGTTTATGAGGCAGAGCGCTCCAACATCGTAGACATCCTGTTTGTCAAAGACCTGGCTTTCGTTGACCCTGACGATTGCACCACCCTGAAGACCATCACCAAGTTCTACAACCACCCTGTCCACTTTGTCTTCCATGATACCAAGCTAGACTCCATGCTGGAGGAGTTTAAGAAAGGTTTGTGGAAAAAAACAATACACTATGTTGTCGTTTAATAAACACCTGTCCATGAGTGTCAGGTGTAAGAGCTTTACCTGTAGGAAACAGGTGTTTGTGCAGATACCAGTCCAGAACAGTCCAGACGACTGCCTCAATAATGAAGATTTGTTTTTGAGCCCCATTTTGGTAATTATTAAAGTTATAGTAGATACTATTTATACTTATTTGTATCTGCAGAGGTTCACAAGGTGGAAAAAACAAATCAGTGATTAGTGAAATTACTTTAGTTTTGTAAGTATGCAGACAAGGAAACTAGAATCTTTGAAAACAACAAATTCATTATTGTTGTCTTTGGCCCTGTTGACATTCTAGACAGATGCAAAAATGATTGTTTTTTATCCAGGGAACATGGAAAAGTGTTTAACCCTTGTAAAGTCCTTTGGGTCTAGGTGACCCGGGGGTCACAATATGGCGTGTGTGTGTGCGTGCGTGTGCGTGTGTGTCTGTCTGTCTGCATGTGCATGTTCCTGTACTGCATGTCTTTGTGCCAACTTTTCATCATATTCATTAATACTCATATTCTGGGACAAGATGAAAATCATTGCAAGGACAAACGGTGCATACAAAAATGCGAAGGACCGCACAAGGGTTAAAATGGCTAAAAAAGGCTCTCTGTCTCCGATTTAAAATCCGATGACATACACAAGTTTGTGATTAGGTAATATCGTACACTTCCCTGTTTCACATCTCCTTTTTTCCTCTGCTGCTTTTCTTCTTGCCTCCCTAACACAACACAGTATTCTGCTCACTCCATCTCCTGCGGACATACACACACACTGTGACACCATCTCCCACAGGGATATATTTTTCCTTTCTTAGGGATCTCGTCTCAAGGTCACAGACGGTAGACACACACTTGCTGTGTCTGTTGTGCTCCACGACCAAGAGCCAAGACTTGTGTTCACTGGTGAAGTAGCGTCGCTCTTCAGGCGTTGATGTGTTGAACCAGGGATCAAATATAACAGGATTATGCTCACAGTCTCAGCCTCACTCTTTACCCACCATGGCTGGTTAAAGAGCCGTGTCCTTAATATTTGTAATTTCTGTGCAGCTGCTGTTTGGATCAGTCAGATTTTAAAGATGCTGTGGATTGTTGGTTGTTGGTTGTGCCCCATTCCCAGTGACTTTTGGCTGTTAAATAGCTCTGTGGCTCATCTCAGTAGGCGTGGCTGGCAAGGTGGAAATTTTGGCAACAAGCTGCAGTGCCCACACACAGGCACACAACAACACAACAACACACAGACCATGGTGGTTGACAACTTGGCAGGGAAAAGATTTAGACCCAAGGTGTTATGAGAACACACACACACATACATAGTATATAGTTTATCTCAATTTAAGGTGAAGTATGTGAATTATAGATCTGATTGTTCATAAGTACATAACAAAAAAAAAACACTTATCAACATCATCAAAGTTCTCAGTTTAAATCCCAGGAGGTTGTCTCTGTTCAAAACTGTTATTTTCGTTTCTTTTTATTTTCCACCACTTTTCTGTGATTTTCTGGCAAGATTGCTTCCATTGTCTCTCCATTTCCATTTCAGCAGTGTTCAATATGCCTTTCCAATGACCTGCTGCATGAGCATGGGCAGTGTCCAGGCAGGTATGCAGATCAGATAATGACGTGTACTGTCAACAGTCAATGATTGCCTACAGTGTTTGTATTTAGTCTGGTTGCTAGACGAAAATGAGACGAGGGATTCAGAAATATTCAGTTGTTTGTGCAGTACGTGAACAATCTTTTAAATGTTCTTGTTTAATTCCTTACATTTAGGTTTTTTGAAGGTTTTTGTAGCCTTTAACAAAGCTGTGTGTGGTTTAGCTGATCTTAAAAAAAATGTCTCTCTTGAATCTACGCTGTCCCATGAACAGATGTTGTCTGAAATTTTAGAAAAATGTCCCAGTGGTAAACCATGTGGCAAGACAGACTCTGGTATACGAGATTGATGAAGTCTGGGGATGCAGTCTACAGTCTCGTGGAGAAGACCAGACCTGAACGGTGATATGAATAGCATTCAAATGGATCTCATGCAAACAGCTTGTGGTAAAACACTTTTGCTCTTGGTATAATCTTGGCACTGAGCATCTTGCAGCTTAATGAATGACTCTGCATAAAACAGTCCATGGCAGTGTTCTTTGTTTTATTGTTATTGTGCCTATTTAAATGTAATGAGGCCGAGAAGAGGATCACAGGAAATAGGTCAAATACATCACACATAACGCAATACCTTAAAACAGTGGTTCTCAGACTAGAGAGCGCTCTCTAGTGGTACGTGGGGAAAATTCATAGTTGCACATTTAATAATAATAATAATAATACATTTTATTTATAAGCGCCTTTCAGGTCACTCAAGGACACTGAATAAAATAAAATAAAAACAGATAATTATAAAACAGGGCATAGAAACACTTTAAAATCAATGATGAACAGAAGCAAGGAGGAGGGAGGTTAGAGGGAGTATGCAGTCCGGAACAGGTGTGTTTTGAGTTGAGATTTGAAGGTGGGGAGAGAGTCACAGTTACGGAGATCGGGTGGTAAGGTGTTCCAGAGATGGGGAGCAGAGCGACTGAATGCTCTGGCTCCCATAGTATTGAGGTGGGCAGGTGGGACGGAGAGGTGGATGGAGGAGGATCTGAGGGACCGAGTGGGGGTTAAGACGTGGAGGAGGTCAGATAGGTAGGGGGGGCCAAGATTATGGATGGCCATGTAGGTGAACAGGAGAAGTTTGTAATTAATGCGGTATTTAACTGGGAGCCAGTGGAGATGTTGGAGGACAGGGGTGATGTGATGGTGGGAAGGGGTCGTTGTGATGATACGGACGGCTGCGTTTTGGACTAGTTGGATTTTATGGAGAGACTTTTGGGGGAGGCCGTAGAGGAGGGAGTTACAGTAATCGAGGCGGCAAGTGACAAGGCTGTGTACAAGGTTGGCGGCGGTGTGAGTGGTAGGGGAGGGGCGG